AATCAGAATTTATTAATTAATAAATTCTAATCTTCATAGCTGTTCACAAAGTCTGCAGTCTACTTAATACAAAAACTGCACCGACATAACTTTCACCTAAAATAAAAATAATTCACCTCTACTATTAAATTTCATTCATTAAAAATAATTAATCGAAAGAATGAAATGATTTTCGTCAGCCGGAAATATTGTTGACAGCGCGGACGCGTCGCTTCGCACGGTAGCCGTCGGCCTGGAAGTTTTCGTCGGATGGCAGCATTCCGATCGTTATATGCGGTCAACGTGGCACCGACGTTCAACCAGTGCGATGCTGCAATGCAGGTGGACCAGCCGGTGCAGCTGGAAGACGCGTAGGCAGTCGGGAAGGCCGTAGCCACTGTCTACCGCAAATCTCGCTCACGGTTGCCGCAGATGTTATCTCCGCCACAAGATAACCGCCGATTCCGTCTCTCCCCTTAAGAAGCAAGAAATCATTTCGCTCACATGGAATAGGAGGAGACGACGAAGAAGAAGAAGAAAAGAAGAAGAAGGAACAGAAGCGGGCTGGACCGAGTTGTCACGGAGTATACAGAGGGAGGAGGCGGATCTACGGATAGGAGTTACCAGAACCACGTTTCGCAATCCTTTGTTCCGTCGGATACCGGACGCCGCGTCGCCTGCTTGGAATACTTTTCTGACTGTGAATAATGCATCGTGACAAATGGAGCGGCCGTACATACGCAACGCCCGAACGTTCTGTCACGTTTTCTAATCCACTTTTTCTGTTCAATTCAGGGTCGCAGACTTTTATATTAAGTAATATGTATTCTTTATTAAGTATTTAATATTAATTAATTTAATATTATTCATAATCTAGCATATATCTAATATTATTAAGTATTTAATATTATTTAATTTAAATTAATATATATTATAATATGTATTTAAGTTTATATTAAAAAGTTTTATTCTAGTTTAGGAATGTTGAAATAAATCCAATTAAATAAAAAGTATTGATAGTAAGTCATTTTATGAGTGTGTAATTTTCTATATAAGATCCTTACATAAAAACAATCACAAAGCATT